CAAAAAAAAAAAACAAATCAATCATACTCTTCATCAAAATCTCTTAACGCTGTTCTTAAATTTACAACCGAATACTACTCAAACCCACTCCAAAACAAGAAACACTAAACACAAACACCTCAGACGAGCCAAACTCACAACCCACAACACATCCCTTTCTTTTCCGGGATCACCTGTCCAGGCCCAGGAACAACAATCTTCTTGCCAGACAAAGACACAGGATGTTGCAAATCTCGATCCTCACCAGCTTCTAGATTCTTCTTGTTCAAGGTGTTGAAAATCTCGGTCAACAATGTCATGAATGCCTCCTCAACATTGGTTGCTGCCAGAGCCGAGGTTTCAAGGAAGAAGAGACCTTCATTCTGAGCGAATTCCTTGGCATCCTCAGTGGGGACAGCTCTCTGGTCTTCAAGATCGGATTTGTTCCCAATTAGGATGATTACGATGTTCTTGTCCGCGTGAGATCGCAACTCTTCCAGCCAACGGGGGATGTGCTCAAAAGTCTCGCGTTTGGTGATGTCGTAGACTAACATTGCTCCCACAGCTCCCCTGTAGTAGGCACTTGTCACGGCTCTGTATCTATTCACGATGGAGGGAATTTTTATTTAGTTTTCTATTTCTGAAAAAATAATCACAAAACTCTTAGCTTGACAAAAAGCTAAACACTTTGAGCAAGTGATTGTTTTAAAGAAACTAAGTTTTGGATGAAAATTAGAAAATAAATTACAATTAATGCTTTCTTATAAACATTTGGTGCTTTCCAAGTAAGATTAAGCACAATGGATATGTGAGCTATTGTTCGTTCCAATCGAAATTCAAAATGGTTCCACATACTAAAATAACATGGTCGAATAAACATTTTCTAGTCGGATTTTCAAATGCAGTTACCAGTTCAGACTTATATCGAATTGAATTTCCAAATCTGATATAAGATGATCCAGAAAATCGTGAACACGACTAGAAAGAGTCATAGACAATGTTACAACTTGCAATAACCATGACAGAGGTGTTTCAAATTTCTTCTTATTACTACAATAACCATGTGAAACTTTATTTTCTTTATATTCCAACAAATTGTGTACTCAATCAATCAATGTACGACTATGAAAAATATACTAGTCATTTTCGAATCCATACGCAAGTTGCAATCAAAAATCAGAACCAAATTGGAGTTCGGTTCCTCTCTAAAACATGAACACCCCGAATTAGAAGGGTTCTTACTTAATTGTCATAAGTCAAAAACAAAAATCTTTCTCTCTGTTTTTTTAATTAAAATAAATAAATAAAAAATAAGAGGTGAAGCACATAATTAGCTGATTTCCGGTCTTTCCAATTGATTGTTGAAATCCGGTCTACCAAATATATATGATGCAAACGAGCCAGCTCAACATAAAAAATACAGTTCATCCCCAATCCCAACACCAATTACAATTCCACAACACATAAACCAGTAAAACAACATTAAAAGAAACTAAAATTCAAATGGATTCAGCAGAAATCAATGAGAGATAGACATATAGGTATATGATATGAACACCTTTCTTGTCCAGCAGTGTCCCAGATCTGAGCTTTGACGGACTTGTGTTGTATGAGCATGGTGCGCGTCTGGAACTCGACGCCGATGGTGGATTTGGAGTCAAGGCTGAACTCATCACGGGCGAAACGTGACAGAATCTGAGACTTGCCGACCGCCGAGTCGCCGATCAACACCACCTTGAACACGTAGTCTATTTTCGCATCGCCATATCCTCCATTGCTGGCCATGTTACCTCTTTTGACTCTTGGAAATGTATCTAATATTCTAATGTCAATGGGGTAGAGAGAGAGAGAGGAAAAGGCGGAGAAGGGGGACGGTGACTGATAATCAGTCACTCTCGAGTCCAAATGCTCTAATTTATTCCTTTTGTTATAATCTATATCTATATATATAAAGAGGTTGTTGGAAAAATACATTAATAGAAAGTTTGACTAAATAAATATAATGTTTGACTTATTATTAATGGTAAGTTCGAAAAAACACATGTAAATCTTTATAAACAAAATCTGAATCCTATTTTTTTGGTAACAAATTTGGAGATTCTTATGCAAAATTTGAATCCCATTTTTTTAGTATCATATTTTAATTTTTTACCAAAATTTAAATCATATCTTTTTTTGTAACAAATTTAGAAATTCGTATGCAGAAAATGTGTCAATTATTTATGAAAACAATTCTAAATACGAATCAATTTAAAAACCGTGCAAATTGGATACAAATTTACGAAACAAATAGTTGTATAATTTCTAACCAATTCTTCCAATCTTAATGAATAATTTTTTCTTCAAAAAAAGTGTGTAAATTGGTTAAAACCACGTGCAATTTTTATTTTACAATAAAATTGATATTTGGACGGGATTGTGCCCACATTTTTTATAACAAAAGCGGTTCATCTTTTAAAATAATTAATTGCACACCATATTTAGAAAGTTTTAGATATTTTAAATTATAAAATAGAGTAGCATTAAATGCCTCTAAAATTATGGGTTTTGTTGAATTCATTTTTGAAAATTTCGACAGATATTAAAGTGAAAATGAAATTCAAAATCTCACTCAATTTAATAATTAATAAAATCTGCATCCAAATATACGTGTGGTTTTGAAGTGAAATTTTGAAATTCAAAATCTCTTCTCATTTTAGTTACAAAAAAATCGGACTGCATTCAACACTTGGACCAATTTAAAAATTATTACTTAAATGAAGGAATTTATAAATAATTGTTATCTCTACTCAATTACATGATTATTTTCAATATAAAAGAGACAGATTACAAATTAGTGAATCATATATTACCTAATTCAATATCATAACATTAAGGAATAAATCCATAGTATTATGTAAATCCGTATCTCATTTATTATATCATTAAGAATATATTATAGTTATATTATCAAATCTTTTACAGATATTAAATCCATATTGTAAAAAAATTAATTCATATAATTTTATAACAATTCTAATACACTATTTAACAATATTTATTTTTATTATATAATAAAATAATAATTAAATATTATATACTGAACAACAATAAGTAAAACTGTTGCTTCTTAAGGGATAAATTTATATGCTAAAATTAAATTTTTATTAGTATAAATATTTTAGTGAGATAATATATTAATTACAAGTTAGCCTTAACATGCTCATTTTTAATGTTCTGGCTAAAAAAATAACACAACGCTGATGTGGAAAAAAACTTATAATAACCTTATTGTTTTTTAGACTTAACGTTGATTAAAAGAGGTAGAAAATATATAATAACCTTATTATTTTTTAGACTTAAACGGACAAGGGTGTGAAAATAACTCATTTAATATCTTTGTCCCGTGCATCGCACGGGGTACGTACTAATTTGAAAATAAAAAGGGTGATAGGTGGCTAATCTAAAATTGAATATAAATTAACAACGAATAATTTAGACCCAATTTTTTAACTCAAATTTAATTACTTAATTCTATTTAAAATTATTAATATAATTAAATAATATCAATTAATTATTTATTACACGCCACATCGACTTTAATTTATTAAAAATTCAATAATACAATTTTAACTAACAATCACTTTCAATCATATATTTTTTACTTTTACATCACATCTTATATTTTAAATATTATTTTAAATACTGACCGCGTGTCGCAACGTGGCAAAATTATAATTTATATTTTCCTTAACCGACTTCTACGAACTGGTAATAGTAGTGAGCAAGGGTCGAACCCACAGGGAGTGTGAATCAAATTGTGAATTTTCTTGTAATAATTGAAATTATAAAAAGCAATAAAAGATGGGGGGATTTTGAGATTTAATAACTAAACTAAATAAAATCCTAAGAATATAAAGTGAATGAAATAAAAAAATAAATAAAATAAATGAAGAGAACTTTCTAGTTCACGGTTCTGTTTACACCCTCGACTGACTCGTCTAATCAACTTTGGAATCAAATCTCGCTATCTTATGAAATTACTAGCCCTAGGCAACGACACGGTCTGTTACCCGAATTTTTCCTTATTTTTAATTTAACCGCGAGACACTCTATGATTAAACCTAACTTCTTATACAGTCCAGAAAAACGTTTTCAAGATTTAATACAATTAGCCGCTTTACGAATTAAAAAAATAGACTAGACTAAGTAGTGAACTCAACCGCGTTTGTTCACTTAAATATGCCGTGTTATCCCCGGTAGTTATCGTCTTCTGGTAGCCTCTTATGAATTAAACACAACAACAATTACGGATTGAAGGTCTTAAATAGGCCGTGTTATCCCCGGTAGTTATCGTCTTCCGGTAGCCTCTTATGAATTAAACACAACAACAATTACGGATTGAAGGTCTAATTCAGCTGTAGATATGAAAAGCCTAGTGATCAATCTAAATAAGACTATCATGGTTAATTATTCAAAGTCACACAAATAATTCCAAAAAGATATTAAAATTATCAACCACGTAAATCAATCAAAACATCGTCAATCGTAGGGTTCGACTTCCCCGGAATTAGAAATAAAATCTAAGCTATCATACTAATAAAAATAAATAAAAAATAAAAGAGAGAGATTAAGTATCTCCCTGCCGCCTCCCTCCGCAATTCCTCAGGCTCCTCTCGTGATCTGCCCGCTTTCTCTCCGTCCGCGTATCGTTGTTTTTTATTTTTTTTTATTTTTTTTATTTTATTTTATTTTTTTTATTTTTTTTTTGTGTGGCGGCTTTTATTCTCGCAAATAAATATGTTCCGTGAATAATCTGATCCCAGCTGCGTAAATAAATCCATCCTTAAATAAATATACGGCTCCATGAATGTCCTAAGATCCAAATCAGTTCGTGAGTGCCCTGCTTGAAAGTTTCTCCAGGCCCAACTTAACGCTTCCAGTGGGCTAAAAGTGCGTGTGGATTTGCTTAGCCTAACAAATGAAATTCCCCCAGCCTCACTAATTACTCTTGAATAAGGCCCAATATATTAAGTCCACAATTAAGTGGGAATCATGCGAAAATTTATAATGATTTGGGTCATGATCCAGATTGCACCTTAATTGGAGTGGTATTGGAACTCCCCGATAATTGATCGCGTTAAATTCCGTTCAATCTTCGTGTCCACAAAATGCTTCAAATACTGAAAGATAATACATAAAACATCAAAGCAAATAAATCCATCTAAATAAATAATTAAATCAGAAAATATATAAGTACGATAAAATTAAGCATATAATAATACGCTAATAAATATATAAAATACACATTTTTCCCGACTAATCAAATACAAACTCAAGAGCTGAGCTGGTACAATTCGGGGGTAATCATTGTCATAAAACAAGTAATTTTTTGTAAGCATGAAGCTCGGGTCAGCAGACCACGAAAGGGCGATTAACTCCGAAGACGAGGGGGAGCGAGATCCGAGCTAGAACAATGAGCACTCATCACGAGTAATGTCGGACGTGAAGTTTTTTACTAAACGAACTTATTGAAGGTCGGTCTACCCAAGGACCTAATAAGAGAATCAATCAGTTAATCGCTCGGCGGAAAAGCTGAGCTCGGGACTTTGGTTGGGTCAGGAGACCTCAGTACAAAAACTAAAATCGATCACACTAAGACGGCAGAAATGCTTAAAATAATGACAACTTGTGCCCGCATCAACAAAAGTTTGTCCGCCTACGCCAAAAAGCATTCAAATTTTTGCTTAAAATTTTTAAAATTACTATTTTTAGTTTTTTCTTTTTTTTTTGGAAAATGGCGGGTGGATGAAAATTCAAATTTAAATTTTTTTTAAAAAAAGGCTATTTTGAGAAAGATATTGTGTAAACCTTAATTCCTAAAAATATGAATAATGATTTCTTTAAATACAACGGGTAAATCTGGCCAACAATGAGAAAGAATATTGAAAATATTGCTTCTAAAAAGTTTGATAAATCATTTTTTAATTTTTTTGGTCAAACGTGTAAATTTAGTTACAAAAATCCGATCAATCATTTAACAAATAAAACGTTTGAATTTTTTGAAAAGTCATGACAACTTAATTATTAAATATTGTTTTATCTATATTTATCTATCTATAAATCTCATATTTTATAATCACAACTAAAAATTTGTAATTATTTAATAAGCAATGTTAATTTCAGAAATTATTTTTTATATTCAGATACTTCAATTTAGTTTATCATTTTTTCGTTCATATTTATTTAACTACAAAATTTTTTAAAGTTTAGACCAAATCTAATATTATGTGGGGGTGTTGATACCCAATTTGGCTCTGATTAATTAAATAATAAATAAAATAATAAGATAAGGCCCGACAACCAAGGAGCCGAAAATATGTAATAAATAAATATACAAGCAGGTACCCAAGACCGATCATCTAAAAGTCGACCGAGTCCCCAGATGGCGAGTCCGCCCGTTGTTGAGCTGAACAGAACTTGAATAAATCAGATGACGCAGATATTACAAAAAGCCACCTCCAGTAGCAATTGTCGGGAGGACAAACGCCAGTCGAAATCGGCAAAAGTCATAAGTGGGACCCACGATGGTTATCTCATATTAAATAACAGTGTACTATTATTTGTTTATTTAATTATCCACTTGCAAGATAGTGAAGGAGGTATATATATGTAAAGAGATGAGAGAGAAGGGGAGTTCTCCTCATTTTTTTCATCCTCCACCAACAACAAAGAAAGGGAAAATACTCTTTAAAATAAAAAGGAAACGCCCATTTTCATTATCTAGTTCTTCATTTTTACACAAGAAATTCGATTCTTCTTTGACGGTTGATCGTCCGATTTTCGACATCAACATGNTAATGCTAATTTTGAATTTCAAAAAGCTTGACGATCATATAATTAATTTTATTTTATCATATATCATG